TAAGTACTCCAGCTTCCACCACCAATAAAAACTGGCCGCTTCAGTATAGCCAAGCTTGCTGAAAGTGGTGTTATACATAAATAATCAATCAATCAATTTTATTCAATAACAGATGTAGAAGTTTAATTTTGTAAAATATTAAGGTATGTCTATACAGTTTCATATTGTATTGTAATTTTTGTGATATTGTGATATGTCGGAGATCAAAATAGATTTTGATTGAAAGTAAAACAAAGTTTACCATGTTTTATTTTCAAGAAAATAAGGTTCAAAAGTGGAAATTTTTGGGAAGTAGTCTGGTTTTGGCTCAAGAAATAAGGTTTCTGCGAACTATTGCAAATTTGCATAATAAAGTTTGAAAATGCATAAAATTAAGAAATATGAATGAATAACATAAGATTGTTAATGTTTTGATGTCACAATTACGTCATAATATGTACCATTTTCATGAAAACAAAGAAAACTGCAAAGTTTATGCAGTAGTCACTCATTATTTCCTTTGGGGAAACATCGTGCTCAGGCAAGAAACAACAAAATAATTTAAGAGATGCTTCGTTTATAACAAGTATTGACATATTCTAATCAAATGTAAAGTTGTTTCTTGGATGGGCACATAATTTTCCAATCTAACATATACTTAAAAATTTATATAACACAAGGAAAATCAAGAAATTTTACAAAATATACAAATTTTGCTATGGTTTGTTGCCATGCATGGTAACTCTTAAATGTGAAATTTGTTTTTTATTTTCTAAACGCCTTTTACCTTAGTGTAGTGTGGACAAATTTAAGAACGAGTATGATAACTTTTAAATTTGCATTTATATTTGGGCCAAATAAGGGCCTTATAAATGTCCCTACTCCTTTCTGGAATTTTTCATTCACCTTTGAGATTTTCTAAAACTGGTATTTTAAGTGAAAAGCTAGCCATATTGGTTTTATTAGCTCACCTTGCCCAATTCACACTTTTACTTTACTTTGCGTCAGCCAAATGTTATGCAACTTAAACACAATGCTTGATAATCACCAAATACAAATCAAGTTCGAATTTGGTTGGTGTCACTTTCACAATTCTGTGGGGCATCTGTGTCCAATAGACACATTCTTCCTTTGTTTTAATTGCCATTTTGCCAACAACAACAAAACAATTGTTTTTTTTTAAAGTGGCCATTTTGCAACAAAAAAATATTTTCACAAAATTTTAATGTTTTTCTAATTTTTGATTTACCAGAATATTTAGATTGGCCATTTTTAATACCAAAAATTATTTTGCAAAATTTTAATGTTTTTTATATTTTTTGCGGTCATATATTGGTATGACGTTGGCGTCGTCGTCCGAAAACACATTGGTTTTCGCATTATAACTTTAGTTTAAGTGAATGGATCTCTATGAAATTTTACCATAAGATTAAATACCACAAAAGGAAGGTTGGGATTGATTTTGGGGGTTATGGTACCAACAGTTAAGGAATTAGGGGCCAAAAATAAGCATTTTCTAGTTTCCAGACAATAACTTGTGGAACGGTGTATGGATCTCTCTGAAATTATACTACAAGTTTCCATACCACAAAGGGATAGTTGGGATTTGCTTTGGGGGGTTATGGCTCAAACCGTTTAGGAATTAGGGATAAAAAAGGGGGAAAAACAAGGTTGTCCTGGTAAATGGACAAATACTTTAGTACAAAACATAATTTAAAGCAGTGTAAGGGAGATAAATCAAGTGCATCATGAAAATTACCTCCCTTACACTGCTTTTAAATTATGTATAAAGTAATGGTTAATGAACAATTAAGATAATTTAAAACAGTGTAAGGGAGGTAATCCAAATACAACGTTTTGGTTACTTCCCTTACACTGCTTTTAAATTATGTTTAAAGAAATGCATATTTATAAAGGAAGACCAGGAAAAATATTTGCAAATGTTGCATCATTTTTTTTTACAAAAAAATCCATATGAAAGATTTGACACTATATTTTAAATTCTATTATAAAATAGATTAAGTTAGCACTATGGTAAATTTAAATGGGTAATTATGGTTGCAAACTCCATTGGAAATTTGAATTGAGATTATGACCATATCTTGAGGGAAAGAATTTTTGGTGGGGAAAAAAAGGGGGGGGGGGGGGTAAAAAGAAATTGTGGGGGGTCAATTTTTTCTCATTTCAGATTTCAGAAATTAAAAAGAATTATTCTTCAAATATTATTTTTTTTTCAAATTTCAAATATTGAAAAATTTCAAGAAGTAATCTTTAATTGCACAGTATGGCGCATTAGATTTGTAAAATCTTTGACCACATTTATTTATTTGTTATGCCAAATCTAACTGTGTATTTAGATTTTTAATTTTGTGTCCAGTTTTCAAATTGGTCTACATTAAGGTCCAAAGGGTCCAAAATTAAACTTTGTTTGATTTTAACAAAAATTGAATATATGCTGTTCTTTGATATGCTGAATCTAAACATGTATTTAGATTTTTGATTTTTGGCCCAGTTTTCAAGTTGGTCCAAATTGGGGTCCAAAATTAAACTTTGTTTGATTTCAACAAAAATTGAATATATGGGGTTCTTTGATATGCTGAATCTAACCATGTATTTAGATTTTTTATTTGTGGACCCTGCTATTAAATTGGTTCATATTGAGGTCAAAAGGGTCCAAAATTAAACTTCGTTTGATTTCATCAAAAATTGAATTATTTGGGTTCTTTGATATGCCAAATCTAACCATGTATTTAGATTTTTAATTTTGGTCTTTAAATTGGTCTACATTAAGGTCCAAAGGGTCCAAAATTAAAACTTAGTTTGATTTCATCAAAAATTGAATTATTGGGATTCTTTGATATGCTGAATCTAAACATGTGTTTAGATTTTTTATTATGGGCCCAGTTTTCAAGTTGGTCCAAGTTGGGGTCCAAAATTAAACTTTGTTTGATTTCAACAAAAATTGAATATATGGGGTTCTTTGATATGCTGAATCTAACCATGTATTTAGATTTTTTATTTGTGGACCCTGCTATTAAATTGGTTCATATTGAGGTCAAAAGGGTCCAAAATTAAACTTCGTTTGATTTCATCAAAAATTGAATTATTGGGGTTCTTTGATATGCCAAATCTAACCATGTATTTAGATTTTTAATTTTGGTCTTTAAATTGGTCTACATTAAGGTCCAAAGGGTCCAAAATTAAACTTAGTTTGATTTCATCAAAAATTGAATTATTGGGGTTCTTTGATATGCTGAATCTAAACATGTGTTTAGATTTTTGATTATGGGCCCAGTTTTCAAGTTGGTCCAAGTTGGGGTCCAAAATTAAACTTTGTTTGATTTCAACAAAAATTGAATATATGGGGTTCTTTGATATGCTGAATCTAACCATGTATTTATATTTTTTATTTGTGGTCCCTGCTATTAAATTGGTTCATATTGAGGTCAAAAGGGTCCAAAATTAAACTTCGTTTGATTTCATCAAATTTGAATTATTGGGGTTCTTTGATATTCCAAATCTAACCGTGTATTTAGATTTTTAATTTTGGTCTTTGAATTGGTCTACATTAAGGTCCAAAGGGTCCAAAATTAAACTTAGTTTGATTTCATCAAAAATTGAATTATTGGGGTTCTTTGATATGCTGAATCTAAACATGTGTTTAGATTTTTGATTACAGGCCCAGTTTTCAAGTTGGTCCAAGTTGGGGTCCAAAATTAAACTTTGTTTGATTTCAACAAAAATTGAATATATGGGGTTCTTTGATATGCTGAATCTAACCATGTATTTATATTTTTTATTTGTGGACCCTGCTATTAAATTGGTTCATATTGAGGTCAAAAGGGTCCAAAATTAAACTTCGTTTGATTTCATCAAAAATTGAATTATTGGGGTTCTTTGATATGCCAAATCTAACCGTGTATTTAGATTTTTAATTTTGGTCTTTAAATTGGTCTACATTAAGGTCCAAAGGGTCCAAAATTAAACTTAGTTTGATTTCATCAAAAATTGAATTATTGGGATTCTTTGATATGCTGAATCTAAACATGTGTTTAGATTTTTGATTATGGGCCCAGTTTTCAAGTTGGTCCAAGTTGGGGTCCAAAATTAAACTTTGTTTGATTTCAACAAAAATTGAATATATGGGGTTCTTTGATATGCTGAATCTAACCATGTATTTAGATTTTTTATTTGTGGGCCCCGCTATCAAATTGGTTCATATTGAGGTCAAAAGGGTCCAAAATTTAACTTTGTTTGATTTCATAAAAAATTGAATTATTGGGGTTCTTTGATATTCCAAATCTAACCGTGTATTTAGATTTTTGATTTTGGGTCCCGTTTTTTAAATTGGTCTACATTAAGGTCCAAAGGGTCCAAAATTAAACTTTGTTTGATTTTAACAAAAATTGAATTCTTGGGGTTCTTTGATATGCTGAATCTAAACATGTGTTTAGATTTTTGATTATGGGCCCAGTTTTCAAGTTTGTCCAAGTTGAGGTCCAAAATTAAACTTTGTTTGATTTCAACAAAAATTGAATATATGGGGTTCTTTGATATGCTGAATCTAACCATGTATTTTGATTTTGGACATTGGACCATAATAGGTAAATTAAAAAAATTCAAGTTCTTAGACCACATTCTTTCTTTGTCAGAAACCTATGCTGTGTCAAATATTTAATCACAATCCAAATTCAGAGCTGTATCAAGCTTGAATGTTGTGTCCATACTTGCCCCATCTGTTCAGGGTTCGACCTCTGCGGTCGTATCAAGCTGCGCCCAGCGAAGCATTTTATTTTTATATAATTCACCTTTATATTTATATTTGGCATTTTGCCAATATAAATAATTTAATTTGCCATTTTTTTTTCAAAATTTATCATTTTATTTAGATTTTTGCCAAAACAAATTATTTTTAATTTACCTGATTTTTTCATATTTGGCATTTTTAAAACATAGCAATAAATTTCTGCAGATTCTTCCTTTTTATCAGTATTCATTCTTGTATGCCTTTATACTTTCAGGAACCTTTCTTTGTGGCCAGGGTGGTGTATGACATGCTGTTCTTTTTCATCATTATTATTATTGTTCTCAATCTCATCTTTGGTGTTATCATCGATACTTTTGCTGATCTGAGAAGTGAAAAACAGAACAAAGAAGAAATATTGAAAAATACTTGTTTTATTTGTGGTAGGTTATATTATAGATATGTAAAATATGATTATTTCTTTTTGTCTGGGTGCAGGCAAAAAAAGTACAAAGGCCAAAACAATCCTAGGTTTTGTTGTATTGTTGGTGTAATCAACATTTTTGTTCAATTAAAAGTTATTTATTGACCTCAATACTTTGTCAAACCTTCATGGAATTTTACTTAAATTGGACAGAAGCTTTATCATGATCATAAGTTGGCAATTGAGCAAACTTTTGATAGTTATTTTTAGCTCACCTGGCCATAAGGATATGTGAGCTATTGATTACTTGGAGTCTTCTTCTCTGAAACCGGTGGCAGAGTGGTCTAAGTAGTTACTACTGTAATCACTAGCCAGTCAACACTGAGGTTGTGAGTTCGAACCCCGCTCATGCGGGTACACTCGACTCCAATCTTAGTTGACTAGGATTGTCAGGTTTCCTATCGAAGGTCGTGGTTTTCTCCGGGCACTCCGGCTTCCTCCACCAATAAAAACTGGCCGCCACGAAATAGCCCAAAAGTGGTGCTTAAAAGTGGCGTTAAAACACCAAAAATTAAAAATCAAATCTTCTCTGAAACTGCTAAACCAAATTTCAACTTGGTTGAATGACCGTTAAATTTTTGTTTATTTTCCCAGTCGGTCAACAAACATGGCCACCATTGCTAAAAATTGAACATACCTGCCAACAAACCAGTTGTAGGAGGGAGACTCCCTCTTTTTCCTTTAAATATTTGATATCCCCCTTTTGACATGTTACCCAAGACAGAGGTCAAAATCTCCCTCTTTGATAAAAATCAGCCTATTTTCAACCCCTTTCATCATTTCAGGGGTTTTGATAGTATTTTCTGTGTTTGATTTTCACTGTATTGCAAAACAATGCTTATTTGCATAGTATTAAGACATCCAAGGTCAAAGAACATTATTTTAACTGATACAAAATTCTAAGAAAGGATTGTCACAAATAATCCCTCCTTAGTGGAGCTTGAAAGAGGGGGATCTCCCACATTATTGCTCCAAAATGTTGGCAGGTATGGTGTGATGCATACATTGTTTACAGAACAGTACCAATGAGAAGATAAAACTTCACATTTTGGTGTGCACCACAGTTGGAAAAAGTTCCAGGAAAAATCCTGCTTTGAACACTTATTACATACAAATCTAGATAATCCATTATAAAAAAATGATATTTTTTTGCTTTTTTCAGGTTTGAACAGAAGTGCTTTTGACAATAAGACTGTGTCATTTGAGGAGCACATAAATGGAGAACATAATATGTGGCATTATCTGAACTTTATTGTTCTTGTCATAGTGAAAAAGAAAACTGAGTTTACTGGGCCAGAAAGTTATGTTTATGAACTAGTCAAGGTGAGCTTCTTGTATGATGGTAAAATGCATCTCAAAGGGGACATTTTCATAACTCATCAATGCAAATGGCATTATTTTGTTTGTTAAAGGCTTGTAGATGCTGACTTTATAATATCCTTCTATAAGCAGTACATTTAAAATTTCTTCTCGTCGTCCGTTGTCGTTAATTTTTACAAAAATCTCCTCTGAAACTACTGGGCCAAATTTATCCAAACTTAGCCACAATCATTAAAGGGGGAATTAGTTTTAAAAATGTGTCAGATGACCCTGCGTGTCAACCAAGATGGCCGACATGGCTAAAAATTGGAGCATAGGGGTAAAATGCAAGTTTTGTCTATTATTTTGAAACCGTTATAAATAGAGAAAATCTGACAGGGCAAAAATGTTCAGAATGTTGAGCTCTATCAATTGTTCATATATGTCAAAACTGTCAGACCACTTCTTATAGTTTTTTTTTATTTTTATACGACCGCAAAAAAATTTTTTGTGGTCGTATATTGGTATGACGTTGGCGTCGTCGTTGTCGTTGTCGTCGTCGTCTGGCGTCGTCCGGCGTCGTCCGAAGACACATTGGTTTTCGCACTCTAACTTTAGTTTAAGTGAATGGATCTCTATGAAATTTTACCACAAGGTTCAATACCACAAAAGGAAGGTTGGGATTGATTTTGGGGGTTATGGTACCAACAGTAAAGGAATTAGGGGCCAAAAAGGGGCCAAAAATAAGCATTTTTGTAACTTCCAGACATAACTTGTGTGTTAGTGTATGGATCTCTCTGACATTGTACCACAAGGTTCCATATCACAAGAGGAATGCTGGGATTGATTTTGGGGGTAATTGCCTCAAAATTTTAGGAATTAGGGGCCAAAAAAGGGGCAAAAAACAAGCATTTTTCTAGTTTCAGGACAATAACTTGTGTGTAAGTGTATGGATCTTTCTGAAATTGTACTACAAGGTTCCATATCACAAAGGGAAAGCTGGGTTTGAGTTTGGGGGTAATTGCCCTAAACGTTTAGGAATTTGGGGCCAAAAAGGGGCCAAAAAACACATTTTTCTAGTTTCCAGACAATAACTTGTGTCCAAGTGTATGGATCGCTCTGAAATTGTACTGCAAGGTACCATACCACAAAGGGAAGGCTGGGATTGAGTTTGGGGGTGATGAATCATAAGAGGGTTCAAAAAATTTGGGGGGGGGATTTTTTTTTTTTTCCTTTTGTTTCTTTTTTTCCTTTTTTTTTTCTTTTAAAATTTTCCATTTTAAGTTGGTTATTTCTGATTTATATTTAAAAGCAAATAATAATGATATGGTAGGAGATACACACCAAACAGGATGTATAAATTATTATATAATAAGTATTGTGCAATAGCAAGAAATTTTCAATTGCACAGTATTGCACAATAGCAAGAAATCTTCAATTGCACAGTATTGCACAATAGCAAGAAATCTTCAATTGCACAGTATTGCGCAATAGCAAGAAATATCCAATAGCACAATATTGCGCAATAGCAAGAAATTGTCAATTGTACAGTATTGTGCAATAGCAAGAAATATTTAATTGCACAGTATTGTGCAAAAGAAGATACTTCTTATAAATTGCTTATTTCTTGACCAATTTCAATGGGGTTTTATTCTTGAATTCTTGGGGTTCTTTAATATACTGAATCTAACCGTGTATTTAGTTTTTGGATTTTGGGCCCCGTTTTTAAATTGGTCCACATTGAGGTTCAAAGGGTCCAAAATTAAACTTTGTTTGATTTCATCAAAAATTGAATTATTGGGGTTCTTTGATATGCCGATTCTAACCGTGTATTTAGATTTTTAATTTTTGGTTCCGTTTTCAAATTGGTCTACATTAAGGTCCAAAGGGTCCAAAATTAAACTTAGTTTGATTTTAACAAAAATTGAATTCTTAGGGTTCTTTGATATGCTGAATCTAAACATGTATTTAGATTTTTGATTATGGGCCCAGTTTTCAAGTTGGTCCAAATCGGGGTCCAAAATTAAACTTTGTTTGATTTCAACAAAAATTGAATATATGGGGTTCTTTGATATGCTGAATCTAACCATGTATTTAGATTTTTGATTTTTGGGCCCCGTTATCAACTTTGTCCACATTGAGGTCAAAAGGGTCCAAAATTAAACTTTGTTTGATTTCATCAAAAATTGAATTCTTGGGGTTCTTTGATATGCTGAATCTAACCATGTATTTAGATTTTGGATATTGGACCATAATAGGTGAATGTCCAATTTAAGATTTTTAAGTTCTTAGACCACATTCATTCTGTGTCAGAAACCTATGCTGTGTCAAATATTTAATCACAATCCAAATGCAAAGCTGTATCAAGCTTGAATGTTGTGTCCATACTTGCCCCAACTGTTCAGGGTTCGACCTCTGCGGTCGTATCAAGCTGCGCCCTGCGGAGCATTTTATTGCCTATTAACTTGAAAACCATAATAGATAGGGAGAAACTTTAGATTTTAAAAATGATCAGCAAAACAAGTTCTACAAATAAGTCCCCCCCGTGGTCGAAATCGACAGTCGACTCCTTATTAGAGTAATTGCCCTTTGATGACGATTTTTACCAATTTTTTGCGTTTTTGCCTTATGTCTTAAAAATTATAATAGATAGATAGAAACTTAAAGTAAATTCAGAAATTATTGCAAGGTTTTTATTAATGCGAATAACGCGACTAGTTGAGTATCGCAATAATAAAAACTTGCATTCTGATATTAAATACATATATCTGTATGTAGCTTTCCAAAATTCGCAATAGTTAAACTCACATTTTTGTTAATTTTTCAAAAATCGCAATAATTTCTGAATTTACAGTAGGCAAAAATGATTAGCAAGGCAACATCTACAATTTAGACTATTTGGAGGAAATCGTCCGACGAATCCTTACTGGAGTTATTGCCCTTTAATGACGATTGTTACCATTTTTTTGCATTTTGCCTTAGATGATAGAAATTATAATAGATAAATAGACACTTTAGATCACAAAAATGATCAGCAAGGCAAGATCTACTAACAAGTCAAATGTTGCTGATATAGTTATTAGACTGTCACTCTTTATAGGAGTGATTGCCCTTAAATGAGGATTTGTTTACCCTCTTTTGTGTTTTGAGCAAAAACGAAAGAAGATAGAGACAAACTAAACAGACCAAATGATCAGCAATCCAAGATCAACAAAACAGAGATATTTGTCATGAATTCTATTCTCATCTACAATGTTGGAGAGAGTCCATTGTTGAATATGCACATAGACCAAGGTGAGCGACACAGGCTCTTTAGAGCCTCTAGTTTTAAAAACTGTTGTAAATAGAGAAAATCTGACAAGAGCAGAAATGTTCAGCTCTACCAATTGTCTACATATGTCAAAACTGTCAGACAACTTCTTATAGGAGTTATTGCCCTTTAATGATAAATTTTACCTTTTTTTTCATTTTTAACCGGATTTTTGAAGGAAAAATCGGTTATTGATTTGGGGATGTACGGCGGGCAGGCAGGCGGCTGCAAGACAGTGTCCGTTCATTAACATGAAAACCCTTGACGATTTTTTTACAAATTTAGATATGTTGTTTCCTGTGACTAAATGAAGGTCAAGTTCAATTTTCACGATTTTAGCTTTTCTCATTGTTGAGTTGTAGCCCTTTTCAGTAGCCAAAAGTGGTACTTATTATGTGATTGAGTTATTTCCCTTTGAACAGAAATGGTTAATTATATATATAAAGTTTGATTGCACTAAGTGTTTTTAGATAAATTTCACCTGTTATCAGATTACATATGGTAAATATCAATTACAGAATTATAATTGGAGTGACAGATTTATTTGAAAATTTTCTGTTTCCTAAGTGTTGATGATTATAAGCTCTGTATGACTGTATAAATATATAGTTAGAAATTTATTGTTCATTATTAGACATTTTGAAGATAATTACAGATAAGTTTTATAGATTTTTAAAAGACATTGTCAGTGATATTGTTTGCCTCAAATACGGCTTTTTCCCCTAGAGAAAATTCCCCAAAAAATGGCATAAAATTCCTCCCAAAAAGTTATACATTTTCCCCAAACAGTGATGGCATCGGTAGTAATGTACGTAAATTTCGTATTCATGTTATTTTTTTTTTATATCATAAGCGCTTTTGAGATCCGGGTTTCTTATTAGAATCATTGCGGTGTTTGTAACACGTGGTTTTCAATGTAATAAGTACCGTCAATTTCTTCGTTTCTTTCCCCTCCCCAAAAAGTTCCTTTCCGGTTGAAAATGTCTCACAATTCAAAATATTACCAGAAAAAAACTGTTTAAAAAAATTCCCAATTTCCCTAATTTTCCCAAAATAAAAGGGTAGAGGTAGTTTTGAAAAAAGACAACAATATCACTGATTGTATTAATGATAAATGACATTTTGGATTTTTATACCCCATGCAACGAGTTGCGGAGGGTATAATGTTTTTGACCCGTCCGTCCGTCTGTCCGTCAGTTCGTCAGTCCGTCAGTCCTGTTTCTTGTCATCGCAACTCCTCTCAAACCACACAACAGAATTTCACAAAACCTTTTTAGATAATAAGGACATACTATGTAGATGTGCATATCGACAGGAAATTATGGTTCAATTTTTGTCGAGCCTGCGACTTTTGTCGCAGAAAGCTCGACATAGGGATAGTGATCCGGCGGCGGCGGCGGCGTTAGCTAACTTCTTAAAAGCTTTATATTTTAGAAGGTGGAAGGTCTGGATGCTTCATACTTTGTATATGGATGCCTCATGTTACGAAGTTTCTGTCAGTCACATGTCCAATGTCCTTGACCTCATTTTCATGGTTCAGTGACTACTTGAAAAAAAAGTTCAGATTTTTTGTAATGTTAGATTCTCTCTTATTATAAGTAATAGGATAACTATATTTGGTATGTGCGTACCTTGCAAGGTCCTCATGCCCGTCAGACAGTTTTCACTTGACCTCGACCTCATTTCATGGATCAGTGAACAAGGTTAAGTTTTG